TACAAAGGTGGGTGGGGGGGGGGGGTGGGAGCCGTGGCTCCCACGGATACGTCCCTCTGGATACTTCCCTGCATAACCCCCATAAAAATCTATGCCCCCCCCCCCCCACCACCACTCATGATCTGCGCCCATGATCATTTGATTATCTTTTCTACGGGATGTACATGGTGAGATCCAGGATCTTGTCTTCTGATCAACTTTTCAGGATTTTACCCCATTTAACCACAAGCTGTGAACACCTTAATGACCAAATTTGATTGAATTCCATTCAATCGCTTGTCAATAGTAGCATTTTGAACCTTTGACCTATGATTTAATGGTTATTTGATTACAGAATTGCATATGAGATGTTACGATAAATGATTTCATCAAATGATGTTTGGGAAAATAATGGTTAGGAAATACAACACCTGATGGGCAGTCTCGGGTGGGGGAGAACCTTAAAATTATGGACACATAAATTTACAGCATGTGATGGACTGACCGTCTATACACATATACAGCATGTGATGGAGGCATGTGCTAGACGGACGAACGTATGTCTTTCTTCAATTAATTTCCAGTAAAATAATTATTACAACTTCAAGAAAACTCGTGTTTTTATTGCATAAATTAATTTCACAAGCTTTTATTCTGAAATATAGCGGTATCAGTATTCTTTCTATATACGGTACAAGCCACCGGGAACCAGACGTCGGAACAGAAAGTTTCAACAGCCCACGTGTGTTTTGTTGCGACATCATAAATGAAGCTGCTCACGTGACCTCTAAGACCACACTCCCGAAAAAGGGTTATTTATTGTTTTGAGCGAAGCGATTTCGAATAAAACGTGTTTGAGTGAAAGTAACTATGAAAATAATTATTTAAACAACCCAAACCATTGCTTGATTGTACCGTAGAAAATGTAATAGGAATCACAGTACAGCACTGTATAGTGAGTATAATTACGAATACTAACCCTTCAACAAAGGCTAGGCTAATTAATTGGGCTAGGAGCATGGGCCCAAGCTAGACAGACGGCGCCTGATTTTCGCTGCGGTTCGCGATCTGAACTTTTTGGGAGAGGTTAACGACTGGTGTATAGGCCGCACCCCAAACTTCGAGGGGAAAATTGCGTATAAAATTTGCAGCTTATTCACCGGAAAATACGGTTTACAGAGCAAAAACTTGTGTTTGTTCATGATTTTAAGGGGGGCGGGAGAATTTGTATGAGGCTGGGCAGAAGGCCTTAAAAATAGCTTTAGGATGGGCGCAAGACGTCAAGAGTGGGCGGCGCCGCTTTGCTCCGCCCTGCATAACGACATCCCTGCACTTCTCATAACCCCTTAACCCCTCCCCCTTTCATAAATTTCTGGATCCGCCTCTGATTTTTTTTACTCAAAATGAAAATACTGTATTACCTTACACAATCATTATTCAAAAAGATACAATCAAGTTATATTGCAATTCACAAATGTACATTGATTTTTTACGTACAAAGGAACGTACGCACCCGCAGGGTTCTGGTTTAAATATTTTAATCTGAACTCTAACCCCAAGTGGTGAACAGCCAATGTATGAGAAGTATCACCGATTATAAAGACCACGTTTGGTTGGAATCGGTACAATCGTTTAGCACTAGTAGCTTTTTGAAATGTTGCCAGAAAAAAAAAATTACTCCTTAATGACCTTTGATCCCGAAGGTTATTTGTG